GCAGTGGATGCCACGATTTTAAGGCACTCGCACATCCATCATTGGATAAGCTCGTATGCGAATGGCAAGCTTACAAATTTACAGCTGTCTGTAGATATATACCTATGTCCGGTATACAGTGGTGGTCAGAAAAATATTATAGTAAAATATGGTACAAATATAGTTTTTCATCGATTTTATATAATTTAATTCAGAAACGCACAATTCACTCTATCAAAGTTCCTTAATAGTAACTTTTATACTCTCGCAACACGTTATTAGGGTTATATATATAGGGTTATATATATATAAATGATCAGGATGAAGAGATGAGTTAAAATCAGGGTGACTGTCTGTCCATCCGTCTGTACAAACTGTAACGTGAGTAAAAATTGAGATATCTTGATACCGTAAGACGGTTGGTATTGCAGATGGGCGTAATCGGACCACTGCCACGCGGACAAAACGCCATTAATCAAAAACAAATAAATTGTCATAACTAAGCTGCGGTTACCATTTTTTTAAAAAAGTGGGCGTGGTTCCGCTCCTAATAGGTTTAATGTGCATATCTCCTAAACTGCTAAAGCTATAATAACAAAATTCACTGATAACAAATGTTTTTGGCACCTCTATCTACGGTGTGAAATCGGGTGACAACCCCGCCCACTGCCTATATAACGGTACTGTTAAAAACTACTAAAAGCGCGATAAATCAAGCACTAAACACGCCAGAGTCATTAAATTTTATCTCTGGGATCGCATAAGCTGACTTTATAGGAACCGCGTTCGAAATTAGACAATGGCCGTGGCACCGCCCACATTTAGGTGAAAACCCATATCTTAGGATTTGCTTGACCGATTTCAACCAAATTATTACATAATATTCTTCTCATATTTCTATGCTATAGTGCGAAAATGAGCGAAATCGGATTACAACCACGCCTATTTCCCATATAACACCATTTTAAATTCCATCTGATTCTTTTACTTTCCACTATGCAAATCAAACAACAATGATTGTATCGGGGTAAAACTTTGCGTGAATAATACGTTTAAAGTATGCCACCTTGTGACAAAAAATTGTCTAAATCGAACCAAAACGATTCAAGTCCCTGGGTACTGAATTTGTTGACCCCAGTGCCCATAGCTGACTTTTTACCGAAAATATCGGTCAACATAGAACAAGGCGGCAAGATCCACAAAGAAATCTAAAACGAGTATGCCATTTGACTTTGTGAAAGTATAGAATGTTCGGTTATATTCGAACTTAGCCCTTCCTTACTTGTTTTGTTCAAAGTTTTTATGTGAGACACTTTACACCTTTTCACGTCTTTCGTGGTGAATCAACTGCATAAAAATGTAATCATGAATTAAAGCAAAAAATATCCCAGTCGATGTTTTGAGAAGAAATAAAACGCATAGAATTTAATGTTATAGCCAAGAACTTAACTTTACAATAAAGATAAGGGTTAGCCATTATGTTTTAGAAATGATTTCAGGCAAGTGACCGCCGTGGCTGGCTGGAATAAAATCCACCTGAGAAGCAAAATTTTCGACCAATTTTTGCAATTTTGGCCGTATGTCAGAAATAAAGCCCCGGATATTTTCTTCCAAGGCGTCTAGTCGTCTCGCGCTTATCTGCGTAGACAAGCGACTTCACATAATCCCACAAAAAATAGTCCAGCGGTGTTAAATCGCACGACTGTGGTGACTACGCCACAGGCTCACAACGCGAGACAATATGCTCCTTCTTGTAGGTACCAAGGGTCCACATCAACATCCTCCAATTTAGTCAGGAAAAAGTCATTAATCAACGCTCTTTATCGTTCTCAATTGACTGTACCATTATGGTCGGCTTTAGTTTTGAAGAAATATGGACCAATGATTCCCTCTGCCCATAGCGCACGCAGTGACCTTTGGAGGATGTCACGGTGGCCATTCAACCGAAAGTGAGTTTCTTCGCTGAACAAAATTTTCTTGTGAAAATCGACATCGGAGGCAATTTCATTTTGGACTCATTCACGTTGCACGTGCGGTCGGTCGGCTTCAATACTTGAGACGTTCGATTTTGTAAACCAAAAATGAAAAAAATGGTTTTGAAACATGGATTTTTATGAAAATTTTGAGAATGTCAGTTCTCATTATTCACATTTATTTGATCACGAGTGTGTTTATTGATGGCCAACTCGATTTAAGTACTTTAGCTGCCTTTAAATTTCATGCCGCTTTAAATGTAGTTCCTTACATTTGCGTTTGTTTAATTCGATTTAGGAGTTTTTAATTTACCTTTTTAATTGCTTTGATTTACGAGGCGCTCTTTTCACGTTTGTGATCCATCTACAATTGATTTCAGACATAAGTGAATGCCGAATGAGTTGAGTTGTGTTGGGTTGAAGGTGCACTGTTCGTGCATATGTAGATGTTTATCCACATAAGTATGTATGTATATATGTTAAGGGGTACATTCACATAGCGACAGCTTGATCAGAAAGTAGAAAAAATAACAGTTACTTAAATTGACCGCTGCCAATCGTCACTCAGCCCATCCAACTGCCGCACACGTGTGTATTAATCAAATTCGTCGGCCATTTATCACCGCCGCTTCTTTTTATTTCCTTGGGATCGAACACACCTAAGACTGTAGTATATGAAGCCATCAAATAAGCACATATGATTATCCATGTGTGGACTATTTGATTACTTGATTCATGCGTCAACTTAGCGTATTTTCGGTTTAGCGGTCAGCCAATAACGCGCTCGCATCGCTCAGCTTACCCCCGATTACGACAGTTTTTGTAACAAATGTCAACAAATCAATTTTCGATTTAAAGGATTGTCGCATTGTCTATTTTGTGGGCGATAAGACATGTTTGGTTTTATTGTTGTTGCCTTGTTAACGACCCGTTGTGATTGTTGTTGCTATAGACGCGTCACATGTGAAATACACAGTAAAAGAAATATAAAAGGAGGTCAGATATCTGCTGATTGGCTTAATATGTACAGTGGCTTACTTTCTTACAACTATGTTCTTCTTACGAGTATCACTCAAGCAAAAAACATTCCGGTCTTCTTGCTCGTTTATGGTTTTACTGATTTCAGCCCACCAAACTCTTAATGGCTATCTTCGATTCGCCATTTCTCTGCTCGCTTCCGCTCTCTTGTCAAAAAAAATTACATGTAAAAGCCAAAGCAAGTCATCGAGTTGAATTCGTGTAAGAGAGTATGCCGATATATATTTTAGACCAGTTTTACTATTGTGAATGGTTCAAATGACAAATGAAAAAATAAATTAATTTTTTTTCTTTTATTTTCAAAACTTAATACTTAAAATCAATTATAGTAATTTATAGAAAACAAAATAAAGGGTTACAGCAACGTTTTTTAACGCAAAAAAAAAGAATTTCGCTACCAAGAAAGAATCATAACACTAATGCGCATGCATCAGAAGACATGTTTGCTCGGGGTTGCACCACAATTGTTGCCTGTATGTTTGAGCATCTGGTATAGTATTTTTTTGATTCGCTAGAGAGTAAGGCTTGGCGAATCAAGGTCAGTTAATATGGAAATTTCGTTGCAAAACTACTTCCCTCTATTCATTGTACCGACTAAGAATTTGCGCCACTTCTGCAGGCATGTCGTCCAATACTTAAGGGTGCTTCATTTCAGTGATCTATGGTATTCTCATGATGTGCGTAATATATTTAAGGAGTCAGGATAAACCAATGATTTGCTGAGTTTTGTTGTTTTGGAGACCTACAGTTCATTGACCTAAAAGATTTTATGACTTGTAAATTTGATATGTATATTGTACGGTTATACTATAATTTACACTTACACTTTCTTTTTCTATCCAATCGACTGAGTTGTTGTTGTCACATTGTGACATTTTGATTAATATACCATTATGAACAGACTAATGAGGAACCTTCGATGGTCTTCATCGCCCCTGTCAACCGATTGCTTTGTAGACGTACAAACAACTTTCGAGTTATTGTTGAGCATAATAAATTAAAAATCAGCAAGGCGGTCTGGTTTCGGCAACTCTTGTGTCATTACCGAAATATCGTTTATCGCATTCTTTGAGGTAACTTGCCACAGAAGCGAACGCAATGCAAGCCACGAACTAACCAGTTTGCCGATGAGTCTGTCAGCTAGTCGGTTGGGAAGATCGCAGTCCCGGCAGTGAGAAGGTATGTGGAACGAAGAGTGGTGGCGAAGCAGTGATCGGCGAGTGTTCGCGGCAACCGCATCACATTCAAGCATCCGAACGGAATTTTGATTAGGACTACAACATGCCCACTGAATTTTTGTTAAACGCGCGTTGGATTTTGAAAAATGTGTGTATCCTCCTGCGACCGTAGAGTTGCCCCGCCGGTCCCATTAGTGCTTTACTTGCAACGCTGCCGCGTCAATTTCATTTCTTTTTTTCGTTGATGTTAACGTGCATTTCTATGTGTGCGTCGATATGCGTAAATCTTCGCCATCTCAAATGGTTTCGCTTTTTAGTAAGCGGTGCGGCAAAGGGCCAAGCAAATCGGGGTAGACGTATGTACGAGCCCATACCATATATGCGTACATTTGTATATGGATTGTGCCAAGAGGCGATTTTAAATATTCCAACAATTTTCGTCCAATTAAGGTGTATGTATGGCATATGAGGCAGGCACTTGCGGCATGAGTGATCAGACATTCGCGATATTGTGTGTCCGTATCAGGCGCTGCCAAGCTACGCAGATAAGCACTATACTCAATATGTTTCTGCGGCACTGCAAATATTCTGTGATCAGTTGCCTTGCATTGTGGTTTTGCCCGCTTGTTTTTGTTTGATTGGCCATATGTGACTGCTGCTTGTGCATGCGCCATGGCATTAGCTACCGTTTTTGCCGCTGCTTATCCCGCATACTTCCTTTTTTTGCGTTTTTGTTTGCTCATATTTATTTGCTGGAGAATTTATCACTAATTAAGCTGATTTTCGGTGATATTCTTTAATCATTATTCTTTTGATATTTGTGTATTTTCAGAGGGACATCTAATTAACACAAACTGTTCACAGGGACACTTCCAGGAAGCTTTGTGCTGCAAAATGTCTGCGGAATTGGATGTCTTCCTAGCCAGTGGCAAGAAGTAAGAGTAAACTATTCTTTATGTAACATCTCAATATTATTTATGTTTTGCCAGCACCTAAAGGAATTTCGTGTTCTTTGATTCTTGCAAGTTGCAAGAGCATAAAATGTTCGGTTACACCCTAACTTAGACCTTCTTAACTTGTTTTTATACTCTCGCAACCTGTTGCTACAGAGTATAATAGTTTTGTTCACCTAACTGTTGTTTATATCACCTAAAACTAATCGAGTTAGATATAGGGTTATATATATATAAATGATCAGGATGAAGAGACGAGTTGAAATCAGGGTGACTGTCTGTCCGTCCATCCGTCCGTCCGTGCAAGCTCTAACTTGAGTAAAAATTTAGATATCTTTATGAAACTTGGTAGACATGTTTCTTGGTACCGTGAGACGGTCGGTATTGCAGATGGGCGTAATCGGACAAATGCCACGCCCACAAAACGCCATTAATCAAAAGCAAATAAATTGCCATAACTAAGCTTCGCAATAAGATACAAGACTGCTATTTGGTACACAGGATCACATTAGGGAGGGGCATCTGCAGTTAAAATTGTTTTAAGTGGGCGTGGTCCCGTTCCCTAATGGGTTTACTGTGCATATCTCCTAAACCGCTAATGCTATAATAACAAAATTCACTGGAAGCAAATGTTATTAGAACTCCTACCTACAGTGTGAAAATAGTTGAAATCGGGTGGCAACTACACCCACTCCCCATCGCATGAGCTGACTTTATAGGAGCCGCGTTCGAAATTCGACAATGGCCGTGGCACCGCCTACATTTAGGTGAAAATCCATATCTTGAGATCTGCTAAACCAATTTCAACCAAATTCGGTACATAACATTCTTCTTTTATCTCTATGTTATCGTGCGAAAATGGGCGAAATCGGACTACAACCACGCCTATTTCCTCACATAACACCATTTTCAATTCCATCTGATTCTTTCACTTTCCACTATGCAAATCAAGCAAAAATTATTATATCGGGGTAAAACTTTGCGTGAATAATGCGTTAGAAGTATGCCAACTTGTGACCAAAAATTGTCTAATCGAACCAAAACTGTTTAATCCCCTAAGTACTAAATATGTGGACCCCTGTGCCTATAGTTGACCTTCTACCGAAAATATCAGTCAATCCACAAAGAAATGTCAAACGAGTATACCAAGGAATTTCCCGGGCTTTGATTCTTGCAAGTTGCAAGAGCATAAAATGTTCGGTTACATCCGAGCTTAGCCCTTCCTTATCTGTTATATTTAGTTTTGTCACAAAATTTTAATTTCCTATTAACTATAGGATATGTTGCATCTATGAATTCTTGACAATTCGTCCATATTAAGTCGGAATTTAAGTTAAGCATGTCTTATTATTTGAATGTCGATAACATCTACCTGAAGATGTAAATCAACGAAGAAAAGAAAATAAAATGGACACATAACGTTTAATATGAAAAGAATATTTTTGATAATTGTTACTCAAGAAACTTAAAATTCAACTTCCTAACTATATTTAATATTACCTTTTTATAATGTGATCTACGAGGATACCATTAAAAATTATTTAATTCGCGTTCTCAATAAAAATGCGCCCTTATAGTCGCGTATATGGAACTGTGTTGATTTTCGCCTTTAATCCATTGTTTGCCTTGTGCGCCTATAAACAAAAGCCGGTTAAATATTGCAGCAACAGCCTCCAGGCTGCAATTTCGCAGCTGCAATTCTCGCTATAGTGTTTTGCCATACCCAACACTAGTGACTGGTGAGTCTCTCCCCTGCGACCGGCGCAGGCTACAAGGGCAACCACAGCAACAACAAAAGCAGCCATAACAACAAGTTTGTGTGTAACATTGCGGCTAAACTGTTGACCGCATCTGCATATAAAATTACCATCGCCATCATACAAATAGCGGACGAAACCTATGAATAGATAAAGTGGTTCGAGCATCGATTGCATTGCGACAGCGACTGAGCAACGCCAGAACAGCTGCAGCGAGTGCAACAACCGGCACTGGTGCGGATTGTGCTATAGTAGTGCAGGGTAGATGAGGAGCCATTGTCATTGCCGTGCTTGTTGCTCACCACGCATGCATGTACATATACATATTTAGTTGCCCACCAGCTATTACAGAAAGATTGCAATGACGATGGGCGGGATGCAGTGAGGTTCATTGGCCTTGCGCTGTGGTAGTGATTTGCATTTGATCGATCGCATAATTACGGGCTTAACGCACACCCACATCGCAGCATACGCATGTTCGCACAGACGTGGCATGTTGCAAGTTCGCTTAGTAGTTGCCTGTGACATGTGTCACAAGTCAAAGTTCACAAGCTCGACAGTTGTTTAGTTGTTTAGGGGGGGTTGCCATCGCAGGCGCTTTGTCACTCGACAGTGATGCCTTAATTCATTGCAACCGCTCACCGACGTTTATACGCATACGTATCTGTGTCATGTTTTGCTGAAGTCAGCAGTGTTGCAAGCTCGCAATCGACTTTTGAATTATGTATAGCGGCCCTCTCGTGCACGCCACTTCTCTTATGCTGTCGAGTGCTTAAGACCAATTAACGCTTTCACCGGCACGTATTAATAAAAGCTGCGGTAATTCAAATTATGTACTTTGTGCTGCACATAATAGCAAAGAGGTTCGTCAGTGTGTGTATGTGTGTGCCAATAGAAATTTTCATCTAGTGAAGTGCAAATAAGGAGGACTCTAATAAATGCTCTAGCACTTCTAACTGGCACCCCACTCTGCTACAGACTAGGCAGCATCCAGGTACTATCGATGCGCTTGCCACTGTTGCATGCCGGTTTCATGTGTAAGACACTCTATTTAATTGATAAAATTGATGGCAAAATTATTGCAGTTGCCAACTTTAACGAGCTCAAAGTCAATTGCCTCGGTGATTATACCAAATGATTCGGTGGACTCTCAGCCGCACACTATTTCTCCTGCACCGTAACCTTAGCAAGCAATCCATTAAATCATCATCAGCCGCATTGAGTGCCTGTTACGTAATTATGCATGCGAGAATTTTAGGTGAAGTTGAAAGACAGATGCTCTCTACTCCAGTCATCTATTCAGAAATATATCTCTTAGGTGTGTGTGTGCGCCTTAGCATATGGACTTTAAGCAGTATCAGATTAGGAGCTGACATTGCAATTTTATTACTTCTTTGCTTCACAGGTTAATCAGCTGATATACAATCGCTGGATTTGCAGTCTTTTTATTATGACTGTATGTTCTAGATTTATTGAGTTCAATTTAGAGTTATATAATTGTCAAGATTTGAATGAATTCTTCTTCCTTCTTTTAGAATGTTTCTCGTTAACCCCGAAATAATGCAATTTGTTGACATTGGAACGCTTTGTGATCACTGGCTTTGGTCCGAAAGAGCTTGAAGAGTGGTGAATCGATTACACTATTATTGTAGACAGTAAACAGTAAATTATTATGCCAGTTTATTGATATTTCCACATATAGTTTTGTATAGAATCCAACTGGATAACTGTGTTGCTATTTTTAAAACTGATTTAAATAATACAAGCATAAGACGGCCTAAAATGCTCTATAAGAACATTTTTTTAAACAACCTAAACAACAAAATATTGTCTCAAGTCAGTATAATTTTTTCTTACTTCAAGTGCTAAAGTAATTCTCTCGCTAGTTGTGATGATGTTGGAAACATTTTTCGAAAAGAATTCAAATATTTTTATAACGATGCTTGTTTAGCGAACCGATCATTAAAACTGTGCGCATTTTTTTGAATGATAGGATGTCCTTTTACCCCTTTATGGAAATATTGCCACAACAAATCGATTTAAGCAATTTCTGCAACAAGCAATGCAAACGATTCAGATTGAATGAACATCCCCGATAACTGGAAAGAAAGTCGCTCCAAATTTAAACTTAGAGATTACTAAAAGAGATCAGCTTTACACGTCTGTTGAAGAGTAGAGCGTTACAGAAACCAGATTTTTATTGGAAAAATTCTTATTACTCAAATTTTGTAGTATTCTAATAAAAATAATCCTAAGAAATATTACGTTCATTCTTTCAGTTTTGCAAAACGTTTCCACTGCTTGCGTAATACAAATAACACATTTGCTTTTTCGGAGCAACAGTGTAAGTAATATAGTAATGTGGGCGATGTACGATTACCGTGGCGGAAAATATTTTAGTTGCGAGCTGTATTGCTTTAAATTACTAACAAATTTAATCATATACATCGTTACTAATATTTTAGAAAATTTTTGTTCGAAGACGACTTACATCAAGATATCAAGAGGAAGAGTACGAATACCAGAATGAATCAATGATCCATTATCCTTTTATGATAGTTTAATACAAAGTTACAGTGTAAAATATACTATTTAACTACCAATTGAAATCAATTTTACATTTTATCCAGCTGGAGATAGGAAACTAGAGACAGGCGACAAAATATGTACATATTTATGACTTGAAAAGGTTATATTAAGCTTGCTATATATGTATATATAATTGATCAGCATATCAGCATGACGAACTGAGTGGATTTAGCCATGCCCGTCTGTCTGTTCGTCTATATATTGTACATACATATACGCAAACTAGTCTCTAAATTTATGAGATATCGGTCTGAAATTTTGCACACATACTTCTCTATCAAAGAAGTTGCTAATTTGTCGGTACCGCTGATATCGGATCACTATAGCATATAGCTGTTTTACAAACTGAACGATCGGAATCAAGTGCTTATATGGAAAACTTTTTCATTTCACGAGATATCTTCAAGAAATTTGGACAACTATAGAATATAGCTGCCATACAACTGACCGTTCAAACTCAAGTCATTATATAGAAAACTCCATTATTTCTCAAGGTATTTTCATAAAATTTGGCGTATCTAAGGAATCGCTACAATCCCCAAAAAAATTGCTTAGATCGGACTACTGTAGCATATAGCTGTCAAACATCTGACGGATCAAGCTATATATATATATTATATAAGTATAGAAAAACTA